AGGGTCCTGCTCCTTCAGGTGTCTCTCAGGTAGACCCTCCTCCCGTCGCTGAGCCTGTCGAGGTCACAGGTGACTCAGGTGCTGCTGCAGGTGGTGCTGCTGGGAGTGCTGAGCCTGCGGGTGCTGAGCCTGCGGGTGCTGGGCCTGGGGGTGCTGCGGCTGCGGGTGCTGGGACTGAGGGTGCTGGAGCTGAGGGTACTGTGCCTGAGAGTTCGGAGCCTGGGGGTGCTGAGCCTGGGGGTGCTGCGACTGGGGGTGCTGAGCCTGCGTGTACGGAGTCTGGGGGTGCTGAGCCTGGGGGTGCTGCGCCTGGGGGCACTGAGCCTGGGGGTACTGCGACTGAGCCTACGGAGCCTGGGGTTGCTGCGTCTGGGGGTGCTCCGGTTCGGGGTGCTGAGCAGTCTCTCACACCGCAGCAGCTTCGTGACTGGTACGTCCGGCGCTTTCGCCGTCCTCGTGGCCCTGCTGGAGTTGGAGGTTCTGGAGCTGCTCGTCCTGGAGGTGCTCGTACTGGAGGTACTGGAGCTGCCGGGACTGGCTGTTCTGGGAGCACTGAGGCTGGAGCTGCTGGAGCTGGGGACTCTGGAGCTGGCGGTGCCAGCGGAGTTGGAGCTACCGGCTCTGGGGGTGCTCTTCCTGGCGGTACTGGAGCTGCTGGAGCTGACGACACTGGAGCTGACGGTTCTGGACACGGTGGTCCTGCTGGTTCTGGAGGTGCTGGCGAGGGGAGGTCTGACGCTGCTGGGGCCTCTGGTGCTGACGTCGCCGACTCTGGGGGTGCTGCGGCGGAGGGTGCTGGTCCTGGTGCTTCTGGTGCTGCGGGTGCTGGAGGTGCTGGCGGAGCTCCGCCGTCGCGCCTGTTCTTCGCTCCTCCGTCACCGTCGGCTTTGCCACCGCCTGACACGGTGCTTCGCCAGGTTCTTTCCCTCCCGTCTTCCACTGGCCTTCCCCTCCAGCCTGGCTCCCCCCTCCCTGCTCCTGTACCTTACACTGCACTGCCGGACTCGCTTACGGAGCGTCGTGAGCCTGTGTCTCGTCCTGCCTCGCCTGTTCGTGCTACTCGCACTGCTCGCACTGCGCGCACTGGTCCCACTGGTCGTCGTGTCGCGCGTCCGCGTCCTCCTCCTGTTCCTGGCACGCATATTATGGCCCTTCGTCCTTCCACTGGTCCACAGCGTGTCCCCCTACCGTCTCCTCCTGCGTCTTCTCTTCCTGAGGTTCCCGACCCTGAGTCTGACAGTGTTCGTGCTGCCCACCCTACTGTTACGCGTCTTCTCGCCACTGTTGTCACTGACCCGTCGTTTGAGTCTTCTGCTGCGTCTGCCCTGGTCGCTGAGCTTGTCGACTTTGCTGCTGCCTGTCGTCTAGACTACGCCGCCAGTCTTGTTGCTGGGTCTGAGTCTGTCTGTCCTCCGTCCGTCGGGGGTGAGTGTGCTCTTGGCACGGACGTCCTTGAGGACAAGCAGGAGGACTTTGACTCTCTTGCGGCTGCTGTACCTCATCTCGTGGCCTGGTTGCTTGCCCCTGAGGGAGACCCGGATGCACTAGACATCCCCACTCCGCGCTCTTACGCAGAGGCGATCTCGGGTCCCTACTCCTCTCAGTGGCAGACAGCCATGGACGCAGAGATGGCATCCTGGAAGTCCACAGGCACCTACGTCGACGAGGTTCCCCCTCCTGGGGCGAACATCGTCGATGGCATGTGGATTTTCAGGGTGAAGCGGCCGCCAGGTTCTCCACCTGTCTTCAAGGCTCGTTACGTTGCTAGAGGCTTCAGTCAGCGTCAGGGGGTTGACTTCTTTCAGACCTTCTCCCCCACCCCGAAGATGACCACTCTTCGGGTTCTGCTGCACGTTGCTGCTCAGCGTGACTACGAGCTTCACTCTCTTGACTTCAGCACAGCGTTCTTGCAGGGCAGCCTGCATGAGGAGATCTGGCTGCGCCGCCCACCTGGCTTTACTGGGTCGTTTCCTCCTGGTACCCAGTGGAGCCTCCGGCGGCCAGTCTACGGTCTCCGCCAGGCACCGCGCGAGTGGCACGACACACTGAGGACTACACTTGCGGCCCTTGGGTTTGCTCCTTCCACTGCTGACCCGTCACTGTTCCTGCGCACAGACACGTCGCTGCCGCCGTTCTACATCCTCGTGTACGTCGACGACTTGGTTTTTGCTACTGCTGACACTGAGGCACTCGCTCGTGTGAAGTCGGAGCTGCAGAAGAGACACACCTGCACTGACCTGGGTGAGCTGCGTAGCTACCTTGGCTTGCAGATCACCCGGGACAGAGCATGCCGCACCATCACCCTGACTCAGTCACACATGGTGCAGCAGGTCCTTCAGCGCTTCGGCTTCCAGTTCTCCTCACCACAGGCCACACCTCTGGCTACCAGCCACTCGCTCTCAGCTCCACCTTCGGACGAGTCCGTAGAGCCGAGTGGCCTGTACCCAGAGCTTGTAGGCTGCCTCATGTACCTGATGACTTGCACGCGACCTGACCTCGCGTACCCTCTTAGCATCCTTGCTCGTTACGTTGCGCCTGGGAGACACAGGCGAGAGCACTGGGAGGCTGCTAAGAGGGTGCTGCGTTACTTGTGCAGTACATCAGGCATGGGGCTGGTGCTTGGAGGACGCGACAGAGTTGTCCTCACTGGTCACTCGGACGCTTCTTGGGTGGACGACCTGGCTACGCAGCGGTCGTCACAGGGTTACACCTTCAGCCTTGGCTCTGGTTCTGTCTCGTGGCGGTCCACCCGCTCTTCTTCTGTTCTCGGCTCTAGTTGTGAGGCTGAGATCTACGCCACAGCCATGGCTGCACAGGAGTTACGCTGGCTCACCTACCTGCTGACTGACTTGGGAGAGCGGCCTAGTTCTCCTCCAGTTCTGTACGGTGACAACAAGGCGGCCCTTGCCTTGTGTCAGGAGCACAGACTGGAGCACAGGACGAAGCACATTGCTCTTCGCTACTTTCTTGCTCGAGAGCTTCAGCAGCGCGGTCAGCTTCGGCTTGTGTACGTGGACTCGAAGGCCAACACTGCTGATATCTTCACCAAGGCGCTCCCGCCTAGTGATCATCAGCGGCACTGTACTTCTTTAGGCCTTGTGTCCACGTTTCCTCATTTGCTTACTGCTTGACTTTCTTTGTACTGTACTTTATATATATCTTGCTGCTTGTCCTGTTCTATATCTAGCACTGCATGTGAACTGGCCTTGTGGCCTTTGCTTGTGCTCGGAGTGTGGTGACGTTGTGATCCACCCTGGGCTTGTTTTGCTTTGCTGGACTGGTCTTGTGACCCTTTGCTCTCCCCCACTTTGCCTATGGGGGTGTGTTAAGTTGTACTGTGTTATATATATGTGGGTAGGCTGTAGTGGGGTAGCCAATACAGGGTACAAACCCAACTAGGGTTAGCTACTTGTACCCAACTGTTTCTTTCAATGCATCATTCTTACGCTAGTATTCTGAGAGCTCGATCCTGCAAAAATCGATCTTCCCCGTACTGAAACCTTGATTAGTGCTTCTAAAACTTTCCGAAACTTTTCTAACCCCGCCAAAAATCGATCCTGCGAGCCAAAAATCGCACGATCGGTGCTAGAGGTGACGCGTCCTTAATACAAAACGAGACTTTTTCCTCGGTAAAAAAGGGTGCGTTACTACTCTGATCTTCGATTTTCGACCCTGAACAATCAGAGTTACATACTTTTCAACCCTGAGCAATCAGGGTAGCATCATTCTGAAAAATGTGCACTCATAATAGAGGGGGAAAATTTTCCCCGGAATCAGGGAGGCCTAATCTCAAACGTCAGCCCTGCTGTGTACGTGTGTGCAACCCAAATTCAAATGTTTGTAGCTTGAAAATTGGGTTGCATACGGTAGTGTTTAGTGTAAGCCACACAGCTGAGGGAGGGCGTGCAAAAAAGTGCTGCACAGCCTAACAAGGGGAGGCTAACTGACAACCTGGAAAGCACAAGCTCAAACAAACTGGCACTCAATATGTGGTTGGTCGCATGCTAATGCATTAACTTAGCATATTAGTAACACACGCACCCGCTGCCAGAGATCCACATTTCATTCTCATCACAGTTCCATCCTGTCAGTGTAACTTGCCATGCACGCCTCTCCGGGCAACCATCCACACCCATTCAATGAAAGCAGTTTATATCCCTTTACGGCTAGAAACTTATATTTCTGGTTTAGAGCTTTCATGTTTCTGCTTTGACACGAATCTTATCACAGCTACTTCATACGATGGCAATGATGCCACGTGGCCATCGTCCTCGCCGTTCCACCCCCCTCGTCCAACAATCTCGCAGCAGCATTCATTCACATTTGATACACATTCTCACACCTCCAAAACGGAAAGCGCATCTCCAGATCGGTTCCGCACCGTTTGAACATTTTAATACTGTATTTAAAACGGTTTAAAGGGATTGATCTGCACCTTCAAATTTGCCAAGCGAGCAGCCGGCAACAGGGAGGGATGTGCTGCTGCAGGCTGTGATTATACTGCAGCATATACGGTATCATAGGTACAAGTCGTGACTAGCGTAGATCCTTGTGGCAATGACTGGCCATTCACGGCATTTTCATCCCCGTGTTGTCCATTCTGCTACTCCGCCTGCCTTCCTGGCACTTGCACTTTCGTTATGAGACACACGGAGCTCGCTCGCTCGACCGTTTCGTCAGTGAAGTCCTACCAACATTTCGTTCATGATTATCGAGCCTCAGCGAGCAGTTGGGTTGTACAAATGGTGTCCACGTGGAGTTCTTACATATAGCTGATCTCTGCACTTTATAGCTCCCCGGGAATTCTATTTTACTCGCTAATATCGACTGTTGTGTCTGTAACTCACCCCTAAGAACGTTGTCACAGCGAGCATCGTTTCAGTCTGGTGTTATTCTTATATCCGAGCCTCAGTCTTTCCTGTCATTCACTTTTTCCAAGCCTCGACCGATCTTTAGCCGAGGTTATCGATAGGCCGCGTTCCTTTACTACTAGCGGCAACATGTCCGGATCGATTCCCCCCCATTACATCGCCACGCCCCTCGCCAATACCACGCCGGTCGTCGCCACTGGCGCGCCTGTCGCCACGGTCGCCACTGGCACTCCTGTCGCCAATCCTGTCGCCAATCCCGTCGCCAATGTCCCCATCCCGTCGCCCACGCCAACCGCCGGGCCGACAGAACCATACGTGGTGGTGGGGCTTCAGTACTGCCTCCCGTACGAGACGGTGCTTATACTGAAGGAGAAGATTTGGTCGCTACACGGCAAGGCGGACGTATACGACACGCAAGGCCAGCTCTTTTTCAAGACCAAGGACAAGTAGCTCTCTGAAGTTCGTTGCTGTTATCGTTTGTATTGGGAGGGGGGAAGGAATGGGGAGGAAAGGGTAAAAGGGTTGGAGAGGGGTCAGAGGGGGAAAGGGGGAAGAGGGGGGAAGGGAGAGGGGGAAGGAGGGGAGGGGAGATCCGACGTGCACGTAGACGATCAACGCCGTTGATAACCGCATTTTTTTTATGTTACACAGAATGTAACCTCCCCTCCCCTGCCCCCCTCCCCCACTTTTCCCCCACAGTCCCTCCACCCCCTCCCTCCTCCCCTCCACTTTATTTTTTGTCTCTCTTTTACTTTTGGCTTCATTCATGCAGGATGTTCTCGTGGCGCGACCGCAAGACAACCTTTGAGGCGCCTCAAATGGCGCAACCGCAAGACAATCTTCAACGCCCAGGACGAGCCGGTGTGCTCGCTGACCAGCAAGGCCTTCGCCCTTCTTTCCCCCATCCCCTCCTTCTTTTCTGTCTCTCTTTGTCTTTACTTTTTTTTTTCTCGGTTTTTTTCCTTCTCGTGCGCCTACGCACAGAGCATTCTCGTGGCGCGATCGCAAGACCATAGTCAACGCGCAGGACGAGCCGGTGTGCTCGCTGACGAGCAACGCCTTCTCCCTGCACGATGTGACCTACTGGTGGTTCCTGTACCCGCCCTGATTGCAGGGCGTTTTCTTGGCGCGACCGCAAGACAATGTTCAACGCCCAGGACGAGCCAGTGTGTTCGCTGACCAGCAACGCCTTCGCCCTCCTTTCCCCCCTCCCCTCTTTCTTTTCTCTCCCACCCTCATGCGTACAGGGCGTTCTCGTGGCGGGACCGCAAGACGATTTTCAACGCTCAGGACGAGCCGGTGTGTTCCCTGACGAGCAAGGCCTTTTCCCTGCACGGCGTCACCTACCTGTGGTTTCTCTACCCACCCTGCTTCACACAGGGCGTTCTCGTGGCGGGACCGCAAGACGATTTTCAACGCTCAGGACGAGCCGGTGTGTTCCCTGACGAGCAAGGCCTTTTCCCTGCACGGCGTCACCTACCTGTGGTTTCTCTACCCACCCTGCTTCACACAGGGCGTTCTCGTGGCGGGACCGCAAGTCGATTTTTCAACGCTCAGGACGAGCCGGTGTGTTCCCTGACGAGCAAGGCCTTTTCCCTGCACGGCGTCACCTACCTGTGGTTTCTCTACCCACCCTGCTTCACACAGGGCGTTCTCGTGGCGCGACCGCAAGACGATTTTCAACGCTCAGGATGAGCCGGTGTGCTCGCTGACGAGCAAGGCATTCTCCCTGCACGATGTGACCTACCTGTGCCCGGGCGCCAGTGTGGATAAACGGGACGCGCTGCTCACTGCCCGGAGCAAGTTCTTCTCGTGGAAACCCATTCTCAATGTGAGTGAGTGGGTAAGGGGGGGAGGGAGTGAGGGAGCGCAAGGCCATGTTTTCAACGCCCAGGACGAGACGGTGTGCTCGCTGACGAGCAAGGCATTCTCCCTGCACGATGTGACCTACCTGTGCCCGGGCGCCAGTGTGGATAAACGGGACGCCCTGCTCACTGCCCGGAGCAAGTTCTTCTCGTGGAAACCCATTCTCAATGTGAGTGAGTGGGTAAGGGGGGGAGGGAGTGAGGGAGCGCAAGGCCATGTTTTCAACGCCCAGGACGAGACGGTATGCTCGCTGACGAGCAAGGCATTCTCCCTGCACGATGTGACCTACCTGTGCCCGGGCGCCAGTGTGGATAAACGGGACGCCCTGCTCACTGCCCGGAGCAAGTTCTTCTCGTGGAAACCCATTCTCAATGTGAGTGAGTGGGTAAGGGGGGGAGGGAGTGAGGGAGCGCAAGGCCATGTTTTCAACGCCCAGGACGAGACGGTATGCTCGCTGACGAGCAAGGCATTCTCCCTGCACGATGTGACCTACCTGTGCCCGGGCGCCAGTGTGGATAAACGGGACGCCCTGCTCACTGCCCGGAGCAAGTTCTTCTCATGGAAACCCATTCTCAATGTGAGTGAGTGGGTAAGGGGGGGAGGGAGTGAGGGAGCGCAAGGCCATGTTTTCAACGCCCAGGACGAGACGGTATGCTCGCTGACGAGCAAGGCATTCTCCCTGCACGATGTGACCTACCTGTGCCCGGGCGCCAGTGTGGATAAACGGGACGCCCTGCTCACTGCCCGGAGCAAGTTCTTCTCGTGGAAACCCATTCTCAATGTGAGTGAGTGGGTAAGGGGGGGAGGGAGTGAGGGAGCGCAAGGCCATGTTTTCAACGCCCAGGACGAGACGGTGTGCTCGCTGACGAGCAAGGCATTCTCCCTGCACGATGTGACCTACCTGTGCCCGGGCGCCAGTGTGGATAAACGGGACGCGCTGCTCACTGCCCGGAGCAAGTTCTTCTCATGGAAACCCATTCTCAATGTGAGTGAGTGGGTAAGGGGGGGAGGGAGTGAGGGAGCGCAAGGCCATGTTTTCAACGCCCAGGACGAGACGGTATGCTCGCTGACGAGCAAGGCATTCTCCCTGCACGATGTGACCTACCTGTGCCCGGGCGCCATTGTGGATAAACGGGACGCCCTGCTCACTGCCCGGAGCAAGTTCTTCTCGTGGACTCCCATCCTCAATGTGAGTGAGGGAGGGAGGGAGGGAGGGAGTGAGTGAGTGAGCGAGTAAGTGTGGGAGGGAGGGGATGGAAGTGAGGGAGTGAGTGAGTGAATGGGGAGTCAGTCAGCCAGCAGAGTGTGAGTGGAAGGGCCGCGTTGGTGACTGCCATGATCAAGTGAGTGCGTGAGGGAGGGAGGCAGGGAGGGAGGGAGGGAGGGAGGGAGGGAGGGAGGGAGGGAGGGAGGGAGGGAGGAGGGAGGGAGGGGATGGTGGGAGATCGTAAGTGAGTGAGTGAAGGAGTGACTGGGCAGTGAGCAAGGAGGATGTGAGTGAGTGAGTGAAAGGAACGCGCCATTGCCTGCCAGAGAAGAGATTGTTCTTCTCCTGACAGCCTGTTCGGTTCACTCACACCCTGCTCGCATACCCGTATGATGTCGTGCAGAATCCAGGTCTTACAAGTGCATGTCCTATGATCTGATCTGCTGGTAGAATGGAAACCCCTTGTTTCATTGGGTTGGTACACCCAAGAGGCACCATCCTTTGTCCACACAGTCAACAATGTCACAGTCAACAATGTTCATGCACTTCGTGTGGGTCACTCAGAATCTGCAGCTCAGAATCTGCAGCTCAGAATCTGCATCTCAGAATCTGCAGCTCAGAATCTGCAGCTCAGAATCTGCAGCTCAGAATCTGCATCTCAGAATCTGCAGCTCAGAATCTGCATCTCAGAATCTGCATCTCAGAATCTGCAGCTCAGAATCTGCAGCTCAGAATCTGCAGCTCAGAATCTGCAGCTCAGAATCTGCAGCTCAGAATCTGAGTGACCCACACGAAGTCAACCCGCACTTCGTATGGGTCACTCAGAATCTGCCGGAGATTGCAACTGAGTTGTTCCACTGCAGGCTCTGGTCTGAACGCCCATTCTCATTGTCCTCCTTTGCGGTGTTGGTTCTTCCATTTGCTCGCAGATCTTTCTGACAGGGAACTCCTTTGACTACAAGCCACACATTGTTCTCAAACGCGACTTCTTCCAACACGAGTTCACTGTACGTATTCCAACAACTACGCTCTTGGTCAGCCAGTCTCCCATGTGTGTGTGTGTGCGCGCGCGCGCGCGCGAAGTGGAGAGTGTGACCAGCATAAGCACTTCAACCTGCGAATTTGCACATCGAACGCGTTGGCACAGGTGGGAACAGGGGAATTCAGTCTGCAAGAAAGTATCACGAGTTTCTGTCCTCCACCCCACACCCCTGCCATGGCACACCCAGCTCAGCATTGTCCCACCCTGTCCCTGTCCTTGCTCTGTTGCGCAGGTGAAGAGGGAGACGTTTTTGTTCGGAACGGTCAAGTTCTGGCAGGCAGCACGCACGTGCTGTGATGCCTCTTGTCTGCCAAGGTTGCAGCTTGTCTGTGATTTGACGCGTGCAGCTTAATATGCTTCTTGTCTCCCCTTCCCTCTCTCTGTGCTTGCGATATTGCTCACATTGCTCAGATCATGTCAGGCAACGGGCTCATGTTGGCGCAGATGGAGAGGGACATTTGGTCAGCTAGGGCGTTAGTGTGTGCAAGCTCAATATGCATGATGCATCTCCCTTTCCTCTCGCCCATGTGCTTGCTCTATTGCTCAGGTCGAGACAATCAGCGGGCTTATGTTGGCGCAGGTGGAGAGGGGCGTCTGGTCTGGTCTGGTCTGCCAGAGATTCGGTGCATGAAGCTCAATGCACCTGTCACCTCTCCTTCCCTCTCTGTCTTCCTGTGCTTACTCTCTGTTCTCAGATCACCACAAGCAGCAGGCTTCTGTTGGCGCAGGTGGAGAGGGACATCTTGTCTGTTCGGGATTTTCAGAGCACGCACACATATGCCGTACGCGTCGAACCGAACGGTGATATGCTGTTCCTCCCCTGTACCTGTGCTTGCTTTGTTGCTCAGATCACGACAAGCAGCGGGCTTCTATTGGCACAGGTGGAGAGGGACATCTGGTCTGCCAGGGATTTTCTGAGCACGCACACATATGCTGTGCGCATCAAGCCAAACGTTGATATGGCTCTGGTTTTAGCGCTCATTGCTATGGCGGACACTATCTTTGTTAATAAGGAGGATGATAATGATGACTAGCCACATATTGCTATGGCTCTGGTTTTAGCGCTCGTTGCTATGGCGGACACTATCTTTGTTAATAAGGAGGATGATAATGATGACTAGCCACATTGCTATGGCTCTGGTTTTAGCGCTTGTTGCTATGGCGGACACTATCTTTCTTAATAGGGAGGATGACAGCGATGATGGTTACATGGTAGTTGATATGCGCTCGTTGCTATGGTGGACACGAGCACTACGTTAAGGGTGTTTTTGGTGTTGCTGATGACTAGGTGCTGCTGAGGGTGTTTTTGGGTTAGGTGCTCTGCTTCACAATGGTGTTGTGTTGGGTTACCAGTTGTTGAATGCATATACTCTGCGATACAGATTTCACTTTACACACTCTCATGTATTGGTCCCTGTTAGGAGTGCATGAAATCTTGATCTACTAGTGTTCCTCTGTTGCTCAGATTATGACAACCAGCGGTCTTGCATTGCACCATCACTGTACCGTATCACTGATATTGCACACATGGAGGGGGACGATCAGACATCACATCACTCTACAACCATCAGATTACTCACCCAGTGCTTGCGTGTGATAAACTGTAATGCACCAGAGGCTAGTCCCATTCTTGTGAGCATATGCGCAAGCATACTGCTCAGTTGGAGGTGCAACTTTGCAAGTACAGTAACTATACAAGGGAGACCTGATACGGTACTCCCTACGCAGGTCACATCATAGACCATTGGATCCTCCCAAGTCTCCAAGCTTAAATCCTGCTCGTTGAATTACACTATCACCTTCGCAAGCAGCTGCCTTTGTCACTGCTGCATCAGCCACACGCACAAGGGGCTGCCACTCTGAAGGTACAGCTATGCGGGGGCAGCACGCGCACCTCTCAACCCGCTGCAGTGACGTGAGATTCTCCCAATGCTCCTCCTCCTTCAGATAAGCATTGAGCAGGCGTTCCAATTGGCGGGGCTCTCTGGCTTGCTCCAGAGGGCAGGCAAATATATCAGATTGGAAGGAGTGGGAGAGGGAGAGGTGCTGCAAGGACGTGAGGTGGCGCATCCAGGGAGGGAAGCGAGGCCCAACATGGCAGTTAACAAGGTGCAGCCATCGCAAGCAAGGCAGAAGATGCTGCTTGCTGCCATGCTTACTTCTACTGCTGCTGCTGCTGCTGCTGCTGCTGCTGCTGCTGCTGCTGCTGCTGCTGCTGCTGTTGCTAATGCCAGTTATCTCGCTGCTGCTGTCTTCATTAAAGCCGCCATTGCCCTCCTCTTCCTCTGCACCCCTCCTCCGACCTTTTCCGCCAACCTTAATCATATCATCCATAACCCGAACCTCGTCGATACTAAATTTTACGAAGATTCCTGCAGTCACCTCCAGTGTCTCCAGCTCATACAAGCGCAGCACCTCACTGCAGAAGTCATCTGTGTGAAGCTCCTTCACCCGCGGGGGCAGCGCAAACTGTGGCCTCACCCTCCCCCCCCGGTGCACCACCAGGCGACGAACCGAGTGCAGGCGCGGCAGGAAATCCCTGGGGACGGTGAGGTTGTGGTTTACTACGAGGGCGAGATCGCGCAGCAAGGGGAGCTCCGGCAGGCAGTCAGGGAGTGAGTTGAGCCCGTGGCAGCGCGTGATGACCAAACGCTGCAGGGAGGAGAGGGAAGAGAAGGAGGGCGGTAGCTCGTGCAGCAGAGGAAGGTCCTGCAGCCATAGCTCCCTCAGGTTGGGAAACTTGAAGGCGAAAGGGACTTGTGCAGAGGCATTTAAGGCATTTATAGCATTTATAGAATTTGTAGCAAGGAGAGGGCAGTTCTCAATTGCGAGGATGGAGAGGCGAGGGGAGGAGGAGGAGGAGGGGTTGAGGAGTGAGGAAGGGCCTGTGAGCGCTGTGAGGTTTGGGAGGTTGCGAATCTCCACGTGTGACAGGCTGCGCGACGGGAAGCACGGCACAGAATGGAGGTTGGCGCATCGTTCTATAACGAGTACAGAGAGGGATGGGCAGTGGGTACGCAGTGGATCACAGATGGACGTCAGGTTGGGAAGATTGCGGAGCTTTAAGGTGTGCAGGCTGGGAGGAGGAGTGAGGAGGGAAGAGATGCACGGGCAGTTCTCGATGGAAAGGATGGTGAGGGACGGGCATGCAGTGGGCTGTGAAAGGCAATCGGGCAGCTGAGAAAGTTTTGGAAGGTTGCGCAGCACCAGATGTTGCAGGCTGGGCGTGTGGATGGGAGATTCGGAGTCAACGCTGCAAGCAGCAGAAAGAGAGGCGCCTGAGAAGCCGTCTAGCACGAGGTGCTTGAGCAAGTGGTGCTGGAGGATGCCACGTGGCAGGTGCTGCAGAGCTGACACGTCAGCAAGCTCAAAATGTTGCAGCTTGGAGAAGAACAGGGGCTGGCGCGGCTGTGCTACTGCCGTGACAGTTGTGACACAACCCTTTGTGCTCTGCTGCTGCTGCTGCTGCTGCTGCCAAACCTTGTCTTGGCAGCGGCAGAACCTTTTCCGTTGCCGACGCTGTCGCCTTCGCCACTGAGGTGGCAGTTGCTGCCCACAGCTTGCCTCCACATCCCCCTCATCACTCTCACGCTTGATGCCATTCCTTGGCGTTTGCCCATCCCCCATCTCTCGCTCCCCATCCTCCCTCACAAACGGCACAGCCGCCAACCCAGAGTCATTCCTATCTCTGAGCGTCCAAGCATCAAGCGTCACCGAATAGCATCCGTCCACGCGAATGCGCTGCAGCGACGGCAGCAGTGCAAGCGACGCCGGAAGCTGCCGCAGCGCCAAGCAATCCCGCAAAACCAGCTCCTGCAGACACGTCAGCTGCCCAAGGCATTTTCCGGGGAGACACGTCACCCCCTCCCCTGCGCCACGGATTTCCAAGCACAGCAAGGAGGGCGCCAAGGGGGAGAGCCTCGGGATTGCCGCAACGCCAACGAGCGACAGTGACGTCAGCTGCGGCAGCGCTGCCAGGCGAGCGATGAGCCAATCACTGATGGTCCCTCTGCTGCTGCTGCCGATGCTTCGGCAAGAGTCCCCGTGTAGCGTGAGGGAACGCAGGTGGGGAAAGGAGGAGAAGGTACGCAGGAGGGCGCGGGGGTGTAATAGCAGGCCCGGGGGAACAGTGATGGCGCGGGGGAGAAGCGCAGAGAGGCGCAGCCAGCGGCGGGAGACGAGCGCGCAGGCGAGCAGCGGCGGGGTGGGGGCGACTCCGCTGTTCTCTGCCTTGCGGCAGGAGCATGTGGGGTCCTTACATGGCAGCTGCTGCTGTTTCTTATAGCCCCTGCGATCGCGGATGGTGATGGTCATGGCGTTAGGGCATGCCGCTGATGAAGATGGAGGGGCGGTGCTAGCGTCACACCGACGGTCAGTGCTACTACTACTACTCGCATCGATTGCGGTCGTTGCCCCCTCGACGGTTTCGCTGTTGCTGGTGCGGGTGGTGCTCGAAGAAGGGGCGCTGCTGCTGCGGCTACTGCTGCTGTTGCTGGTGCTGATGACGAGGTGGATGATGCTCAGCAAGACGACATCTGGCAGGTGATCAATGATGTCGCACGGCGAACACGCGACGCAATCAGCGGCCGTACGATTCGACGCAGTGGCAGGCGTACGATCCGACGGATTGCAACGGATCCTGACGCGAGGCGCCGCTGGCTGCGGTGATATCATGCAGCGGCGGTTGCGCGATTCGTCCATTGATGAAGCGGAGTGGCCAAGGCTGGAAGGATCGACGGACGGGGTGCTAGGAGCGGAAATGCGAGGTTTCCTCAAGCCGGTTTCAAGCTAGGTAAGAAATGTCACTTTTTGCTATCGACGCTGTATCTACGCGTAACTCGGAACGCACGAAAGCGAGGAGGTGTCTGATGGTCTCTGGGCGCTGCCTGTACAGTAATGGAGAAATCCAAACAAATTGTTGGAGAATGAAAGGCCGAGCATAGGGATTTGTACTAACCTCGGCGAGACCCTACAAGCAGCTGAAGGCGCGAAGAGTACGTGTAATATTAGGTGCTGGCAAAGCAGGTGCCACGTCATTTATTTCTTAGTACCCCAAACCACCTTTCGTCCGTTGACGCGGTTGACCGAACGCTGGTGATGGCTTGGTTGGTGCGAGGGGTTGGACCAAGAGGGCTGGAGATTTTACAGCAGGGCGAGGTACAACAGCGTTCAACAATACCGCAATGCACCGTTCCTAACCTCTGTTACAGAAGCTTCCCACTTATTGTAATCCATCTGACATAACTCAATAGATTGAGTAGTGAGCATAAAAGAAAGAGAGAAGATACCATTTGGCAATGTGGCAAATGTTTGACATTTTAAAAGATTTCTAACGTTCCTGCACCCATGGTAATAGCATGGTGAGATGAGACCATGCTCGGGGCATTATCTTCGCGGGCGGGGCGGGGAGGGGGAGGGGGGGGGGGGGAAGGAGGAGAGGGGGAAGGGGGAAAAGGGGTTACAAGGTAGCCTCTACTAAGTACCCGACGTCTTATCTATCTGCAATTTCTCCATCTGAGAGCACACGATGGAGATCTTGTCGGTTTAAGAATTCTCTACTTCAGTACCAATATATATTTTTTTAATCTGCAATTTCACTGTCCGAGAGCACACGATGGAGAGCTTGTCGCTGACTTGAAAGGGATCTGAATAGAATGCCGGATCCAAGGGGTACCCCTTCTGCAGCAGGCAGCAGGGAGGCAGCAGGGCGGCAGCAACGGGGGAGGAAAATCGTTGGATTGGAAGGGTGTTCTTTCGTTACAAAGGAAAGCAGGGAGATGAGAAGGTATACGGACAGATGCGAAGGTACACAGACAAATGGGAAAAAGTAGAGGGAGTGGGGTTAAGGTTCAGATGGATGGTGAAGTAGACAGGGAGATGGGAAGGTATGCAAATGGTAATATAGGCGGATGGGATGGTTGAGGTGGTGGGGAAGAGAGCACTAGAGCAAGAGAAGAAGAGAGCAAGGTATGAAGGTAAGTACAGCAGCCAGAGCAGAAAAGGTATCCTCTCGTTCCGTGTACTCTCGAACGACCAACGGCAGGCCAACACTCTCCTCCATCCTAGGTTGTCTATCCTCAACCCTATCTCTCTTCTCCTCCATTTCCTGCTGCTGCTGCTGCTGCTGCTGCTGCTGCTGCTGTTGGTGTTGTGCAATGCGAGTGTGAAGTTAACGCTGCAGCAGAAACAGCAGCAGCAGCAGCAGCAGCAGCATCTGCTGCAGCGGTTTGGGCTGCTGTTGCAGCGGCGGTTGCAAGGCTTGGAGTAGTTGAGGCTGAAAGGGCGGATGGCGGTGAAAGAGAGTTGGTGCGAGCAGGTGTGGGGCTGGGAATGGGAGACGGGATTGCAGCAGGGGCAGGCGTGGTGGTGAAGGCGCAGAAGAAGCGAGAGTCTCGCAGGCGCATGAGTGCTCCGTCCACACGCAGCTGAGTGGAGGGGAGACGGGGGGAGTGGAAAAGGGGGCGGGGGCATAAAAAGGGCAGGTATAAGAGCAGAGCAGGCGTGGTGCGCAAGGGACAGAAGAAGCGCGAGTCGCGCTGGCGCATGAGTGCTCCGTCCACCCGCAGCTGAGGGGAGGGGGGAGGAGGGAGGCAGGGAGAGGGTGAGATTGACACGAGATAGGAAGGGAGGCAGAGGGGGAGAGGCAGAGAGGGGGAGGCGAGAGCCGTGCAGTCGCATGAGAGCTCCGTCCACACGCAGCTGAGTGCATGGGGTTCGGGAGGCGGGGAAAAGGGGGAAGGGGCATAAAAAAGACAGGCATAATGGCAGGCGTGCTGGTGAAGGTGCAGAAGAGGCGCGAGCTGCCAGGTGGATGAGAGCTCCGTCCACACGCAGCTGAGTGGAGAGGGGAGGGGGGAAGCAGGGAGAGGGTGAGGGAGGGTTCTCTTGAGGCGCCTCAACAGTCGGGGAGACGGTGAGAGGGACATCAAAGAGACGAGACAGGAAGGGAGATGAAGCAGGCAGGGGGATGGAGAGTCACGCAGGCGGATGAGCGTCCCGTCGTCTACACATGGCTGAGGGGACGGGGGAGAGATGGGCATTGAATTGAAAGCAACGAGACAGGAAGGTGGGCGTGGATGGGGAGGCGAAAGGAGAGTGAGTGAGACCAGGAGAGCGTCGCTGCAATGACATGGCATTGTGTGGAAGCAGGTGTGGGAGATGCTGACGTCAGATGGGAGATGGTGACGTCAGATGCGAGATGATGACGTCAGATGGGAGATGGTGACGTCAGATGGGAGATGGTGACGTCAGATGGGAGATGGTGACGTCAGATGGGAGATGGTGATGTCAGATGGGAGATGGTGACGTCAGATGGGAGATGATGACGTCAGATGGGAGATGGTGACGTCAGATGGGAGATGATGACGTCAGATGGGAGATGGTGACGTCAAATGTGAATGGTGACGTCAGATGGGAGATGGTGACGTCAGATGTGAATGGTGACGTCAGATGGGAGATGGTGACGTCAGATGGAATACTTACCCAGAAGCGGAGGAGGATGAACCAGCAGGTTGGCATGACCCTCTGCTCCCAGGGACAGACAAGACAAGGGTCGGCAAGAAAGAAAATAGAGTTATTGTTTTTGTTTACTCAAGGATGGACCAGCAGGTTGGCGTGAGCCTCTGCGTTCTAAGACAGGGGGTGTGTAAGAAATCAAATGAGGTTTTGTTTTGTCTACTCAAGAATGAATCAGCACGTGGGCATGAGATCCCGCCGAAGCTGAGAAGAGAAGTACCTTCAAGATCAAGTAAAGGGCAGTGTAGCTTTAGTTTATGATGGGCGGACTAGCTTGAGATTAGCATCTGGTGCAAAGCCTCTCCTATCCTAGCCATTGCTTCTCAAGTGCCTCAAGAACAGCCGAGAAAAGCATAACATTCAGATCACACACGGGCATATCAACACAGTAGCCCGTGAGCTTTGCTCCGAAGGGAATAGAGGGGTTGGGGGAGCGGAGGAGGAGGAGGAGGAGGAGGAGGAGGAGGAGGAGGAGGAGGAGGAGGAGGAGGAGGAGGAGGATGAGGAGGAGGAGGAGGAGGAGGAGGAGGAGGAGGAGGAGGAGGAGGAGGAAGAGGAGGAGGAGGAGGAGGAGGAGGGTGGTTGGTACTCACGGCTCTGGCGGTGAGGAGGGAAATGCCACTGTCGGCCAACTCGTCCTCGTATAGCACCACCTGGTGGGATGGGAGATAGATGGGTGAGAGTGGGTTAATCTCCAGATGTCTCAAAACTGAGCCAACAAAATGCCACTGTCAGCCGGCTTGTCCTCATATAGCACCATCTAACCTGGTGGGATGGGAGATAGATGGGGGGGGAGAGTTGGGCGCGGCGGTATGAGCAGGCAGACAAGAGCGTGCCAAGGAGCCCTTGAAGTCGCCTCGAATTTAATGCCACAGTCGGTCAGCTTGTCCTCATATAGCACCATCTAACCTGGTGGGATGGGAGATAGATGGGGGGGGAGAAGTTGGGCGCGGCGGTATGAACAGGCAGACAAGAGCGTGCCAAGGAGCCCTTGAAGTCGCCTCGAATTTAATGCCACAGTCGGTCAGCTTGTCCTCATATAGCACCATCTAACCTGGTGGGATGGGAGATAGATGGGGGGGGAGAAGTTGGGCGCGGCGGTATGAGCAGGCAGACAAGAGCGTGCCAAGGAGCCCTTGAAGTCGCCTCGAATTTAATGCCACAGTCGGTCAGCTTGTCCTCATATAGCACCATCTAACCTGGTGGGATGGGAGATAGATGGGGGGGGAGAAGTTGGGCGCGGCGGTATGAGCAGGCAGACAAGAGCGTGCCAAGGAGCCCTTGAAGTCGCCTCGAATTTAATGCCACAGTCGGTCAGCTTGTCCTCATATAGCACCATCTAACCTGGTGGGATGGGAGATAGATGGGGGGGGAGAAGTTGGGCGCGGCGGTATGAGCAGGCAGACAAGAGCGTGCCAAGGAGCCCTTGAAGTCGCCTCGAATTTAATGCCACAGTCGGTCAGCTTGTCCTCATATAGCACCATCTAACCTGGTGGGATGGGAGATAGATGGGGGGGGAGAAGTTGGGCGCGGCGGTGTGAGCAGGCAGACAAGAGCGTGCCAAGGAGCCCTTGAAGTCGCCTCGAATTTAATGCCACAGTCGGTCAGCTTGTCCTCATATAGCACCATCTAACCTGGTGGGATGGGAGATAGATGGGGGGGGAGAAGTTGGGCGCGGCGGTATGAGCAGGCAGACAAGAGCGTGCCAAGGAGCCCTTGAAGTCGCCTCGAATTTAATGCCACAGTCGGTCAGCTTGTCCTCATATAGCACCATCTAACCTGGTGGGATGGGAGATAGATGGGGGGGGAGAAGTTGGGCGCGGCGGTATGAGCAGGCAGACAAGAGCGTGCCAAGGAGCCCTTGAAGTCGCCTCGAATTTAATGCCACAGTCGGTCAGCTTGTCCTCATATAGCACCATCTAACCTGGTGGGATGGGAGATAGATGGGGGGGGAGAAGTTGGGCGCGGCGGTGTGAGCAGGCAGACAAGAGCGTGCCAAGGAGCCCTTGAAGTCGCCTCGAATTTAATGCCACAGTCGGTCAGCTTGTCCTCATATAGCACCATCTAACCTGGTGGGATGGGAGATAGATGGGGGGGGAGAAGTTGGGCGCGGCGGTATGAGCAGGCAGACAAGAGCGTGCCAAGGAGCCCTTGAAGTCGCCTCGAATTTAATGCCACAGTCGGTCAGCTTGTCCTCATATAGCACCATCTAACCTGGTGGGATGGGAGATAGATGGGGGGGGAGAAGTTGGGCGCGGCGGTATGAACAGGCAGACAAGAGCGTGCCAAGGAGCCCTTGAAGTCGCCTCGAATTTAATGCCACAGTCGGTCAGCTTGTCCTCATATAGCACCATCTAACCTGGTGGGATGGGAGATAGATGGGGGGGGAGAAGTTGGGCGCGGCGGTATGAGCAGGCAGACAAGAGCGTGCCAAGGAGCCCTTGAAGTCGCCTCGAATTTAATGCCACAGTCGGTCAGCTTGTCCTCATATAGCACCATCTAACCTGGTGGGATGGGAGATAGATGGGGGGGGAGAAGTTGGGCGCGGCGGTGTGAGCAGGCAGACAAGAGCGTGCCAAGGAGCCCTTGAAGTCGCCTCGAATTTAATGCCACAGTCGGTCAGCTTGTCCTCATATAGCACCATCTAACCTGGTGGGATGGGAGATAGATGGGGGGGGAGAAGTTGGGCGCGGCGGTATGAGCAGGCAGACAAGAGCGTGCCAAGGAGCCCTTGAAGTCGCCTCGAATTTAATGCCACAGTCGGTCAGCTTGTCCTCATATAGCACCATCTAACCTGGTGGGATGGGAGATAGATGGGGGGGGAGAAGTTGGGCGCGGCGGTATGAGCAGGCAGACAAGAGCGTGCCAAGGAGCCCTTGAAGTCGCCTCGAATTTAATGCCACAGTCGGTCAGCTTGTCCTCATATAGCACCATCTAACCTGGTGGGATGGGAGATAGATGGGGGGGGAGAAGTTGGGCGCGGCGGTGTGAGCAGGCAGACAAGAGCGTGCCAAGGAGCCCTTGAAGTCGCCTCGAATTTAATGCCACAGTCGGTCAGCTTGTCCTCATATAGCACCATCTAACCTGGTGGGATGGGAGATAGATGGGGGGGGAGAAGTTGGGCGCGGCGGTATGAGCAGGCAGACAAGAGCGTGCCAAGGAGCCCTTGAAGTCGCCTCGAATTTAATGCCACAGTCGGTCAGCTTGTCCTCATATAGCACCATCTAACCTGGTGGGATGGGAGATAGATGGGGGGGGAGAAGTTGGGCGCGGCGGTGTGAGCAGGCAGACAAGAGCGTGCCAAGGAGCCCTTGAAGTCGCCTCGAATTTAATGCCACAGTCGGTCAGCTTGTCCTCATATAGCACCATCTAACCTGGTGGGATGGGAGATAGATGGGGGGGGAGAAGTTGGGCGCGGCGGTATGAGCAGGCAGACAAGAGCGTGCCAAGGAGCCCTTGAAGTCGCCTCGAATTTAATGCCACAGTCGGTCAGCTTGTCCTCATATAGCACCATCTAACCTGGTGGGATGGGAGATAGATGGGGGGGGAGAAGTTGGGCGCGGCGGTGTGAGCAGGCAGACAAGAGCGTGCCAAGGAGCCCTTGAAGTCGCCTCGAATTTAATGCCACAGTCGGTCAGCTTGTCCTCATATAGCACCATCTAACCTGGTGGGATGGGAGATAGATGGGGGGGGAGAAGTTGGGCGCGGCGGTATGAGCAGGCAGACAAGAGCGTGCCAAGGAGCCCTTGAAGTCGCCTCGAATTTAATGCCACAGTCGGTCAGCTTGTCCTCATATAGCACCATCTAACCTGGTGGGATGGGAGATAGATGGGGGGGGAGAAGTTGGGCGCGGCGGTATGAGCATGCAGACAAGAGCGTGCCAAGGAGCCCTTGAAGTCGCCTCGAATTTAATGCCACAGTCGGTCAGCTTGTCCTCATATAGCACCATCTAACCTGGTGGGATGGGAGATAGATGGGGGGGGAGAAGTTGGGCGCGGCGGTATGAGCAGGCAGACAAGAGCGTGCCAAGGAGCCCTTGAAGTCGCCTCGAATTTAATGCCACAGTCGGTCAGCTTGTCCTCATATAGCACCATCTAACCTGGTGGGATGGGAGATAGATGGGGGGGGAGAAGTTGGGCGCGGCGGTGTGAGCAGGCAGACAAGAGCGTGCCAAGGAGCCCTTGAAGTCGCCTCGAATTTAATGCCACAGTCGGTCAGCTTGTCCTCATATAGCACCATCTAACCTGGTGGGATGGGAGATAGATGGGGGGGGAGAAGTTGGGCGCGGCGGTATGAGCAGGCAGACAAGAGCGTGCCAAGGAGCCCTTGAAGTCGCCTCGAATTTAATGCCACAGTCGGTCAGCTTGTCCTCATATAGCACCATCTAACCTGGTGGGATGGGAGATAGATGGGGGGGGAGAAGTTGGGCGCGGCGGTGTGAGCAGGCAGACAAGAGCGTGCCAAGGAGCCCTTGAAGTCGCCTCGAATTTAATGCCACAGTCGGTCAGCTTGTCCTCATATAGCACCATCTAACCTGGTGGGATGGGAGATAGATGGGGGGGGAGAAGTTGGGCGCGGCGGTATGAGCAGGCAGACAAGAGCGTGCCAAGGAGCCCTTGAAGTCGCCTCGAATTTAATGCCACAGTCGGTCAGCTTGTCCTCATATAGCACCATCTAACCTGGTGGGATGGGAGATAGATGGGGGGGGAGAAGTTGGGCGCGGCGGTGTGAGCAGGCAGACAAGAGCGTGCCAAGGAGCCCTTGAAGTCGCCTCGAATTTAATGCCACAGTCGGTCAGCTTGTCCTCATATAGCACCATCTAACCTGGTGGGATGGGAGATAGATGGGGGGGGAGAAGTTGGGCGCGGCGGTATGAGCAGGCAGACAAGAGCGTGCCAAGGAGCCCTTGAAGTCGCCTCGAATTTAATGCCACAGTCGGTCAGCTTGTCCTCATATAGCACCATCTAACCTGGTGGGATGGGAGATAGATGGGGGGGGAGAAGTTGGGCGCGGCGGTATGAGCAGGCAGACAAGAGCGTGCCAAGGAGCCCTTGAAGTCGCCTCGAATTTAATGCCACAGTCGGTCAGCTTGTCCTCATATAGCACCATCTAACCTGGTGGGATGGGAGATAGATGGGGGGGGAGAAGTTGGGCGCGGCGGTATGAGCAGGCAGACAAGAGCGTGCCAAGGAGCCCTTGAAGTCGCCTCGAATTTAATGCCACAGTCGGTCAGCTTGTCCTCATATAGCACCATCTAACCTGGTGGGATGGGAGATAGATGGGGGGGGAGAAGTTGGGCGCGGCGGTATGAGCAGGCAGACAAGAGCGTGCCAAGGAGCCCTTGAAGTCGCCTCGAATTTAATGCCACAGTCGGTCAGCTTGTCCTCATATAGCACCATCTAACCTGGTGGGATGGGAGATAGATGGGGGGGGAGAAGTTGGGCGCGGCGGTATGAGCAGGCAGACAAGAGCGTGCCAAGGAGCCCTTGAAGTCGCCTCGAATTTAATGCCACAGTCGGTCAGCTTGTCCTCATATAGCACCATCTAACCTGGTGGGATGGGAGATAGATGGGGGGGGAGAAGTTGGGCGCGGCGGTATGAGCAGGC